TGACGTGATTGTTTAGAAGTTAATATCCAAGATATACAAACAGCTCTTATAACTCAGTATCACAAAAACAATCTAATCAAAAAAAAGGGCAGAAGACTTGAATAGACATTTTTTCAAAGAAGATATACATACAGATGGCTAACAGGCACATGAAAAGATGCTCCACACTGCTAACTATTAGAGAGATGCAAATCAAAATCACAATGAGGTATCACTTCACACCTGTCAGAATGAAAAGTCATCAGAAAGTCTACAAATAACAAATGTTGAGGATGTGGTGAAAAGGGAACGCTCATACACTACTGGTGAGAATGTACATTGATGCAGCCACTATGGAAAACAGAATGGAGGTTCCTTAAGAAACTAAAAATAGAACTACCATATGATCCAACAATTCCACTTTTGGATATGTATCTAGAGAAGACAAAAACACTAATTCAAAAAGATACAAGCACCTCAGTGTTCACAGCAGCATTACTTAGAATAGCCATGACATGGAAGCAACACAAGTGCCCATCAACAGATGACTGGATTAAGAAGATGTGGTATACACACAGACACATATAGACAGACACAATGGAATATTACTCAGCCATAGAAAGAAGCCATTTACAGGAACATGGATGGACCTAGAGAATATTACACTTAATGAATTAAGTTAGAGAAAGATAATGCTATATTATATCACTTATATGTAGAATCTGAAAAATAATACAAATGAATACATATGCAAAACAGGAACAGACTCATAGACATAGAAAATAAATGTATGGTTAACAAAGGGGAGGGACAAATTAGGGGTACGGGATGAACGGATACAAACTACTATATGTAGAACAGATAAGCAACAAGGATTTACTGTATAGCACAAGTAATTATACTCAATATCTTGTAATAACCTATGATGGAATATAATCTACAAAAAATCTGCATCACTATGCTGTATACCTAAAGTTAACACAATACTGTAAATCAACTGTACTTCAATTAAAAACATTATCAGTTATTCTTTACTGAGTACATAAGAGATATATAACAAGGAAAACAAAAAGGAAACAGGTAAAATGCCATATGGACAAAAATGAAAAGAAACAAATGAAAATCCTCAATACATAAGTTTTGTTCTTATCTTTAAATACTGCTACCTACAAAGTGCTTCAGAATTGTGCACTGAATCGTGTGTGTTGAATTAAATATCATACATTTTGAGTATTATTTCGGTTTTCCAGATATAACTGTATACATATGTCAATTTTATACATAAACAGATAAATCCCAGAAGCACAAATCAAATGATATAGAGGTAGATAGTAAAAATTAAGCCTCTTTCTTATCTCTCATCTACAATAAGTCAGCTCTCTTTCAAGTAGTAAAGGAGACAGTTCCGGGAAAATATTCCTAAGTATGTATGAAGGCAGAACACAGATATAGCTATGTGATGAGGTTGTGGTAAGATGGAAGCCTCCACCAGAAGGACATACTGGCAGACTACACTTTCTCAAAAGAGTTCAGAGCAATCTTTTTGATCCCACATGATCTTTTAGAACCTTGTCACTTTCCATCAAGAGATAGTCTATTTCCCTTTCCTTGATCCCAACTGTGACTTTGTGAAAGCCCTGATAGACAGAATATGGTGAAAGTGACATTATGTGACTTTAAAGGACAGATCAGAAAAGGTAATATGGCTACAGCCTGGTGCATCCTCCCTGTAAGGATGCTCGCTTTTAGAAGTCAGCCCATTGTGCTTTGAAGAAGCCCAGGGCACACAGAGAGATCATACATAGGTGTTTAAGCCCCAGCTAAGGTCCCAGGTAACAGTCATATGATGAGTAAGCCTTCACATGACTTAAGCCTCCAGCCTTTGAGTCTTTCAGCTGAGGTCCAACACATGGAGCAGGTATAAGCCATCCGTGCTGGATCCTTGACTCACAGAACATGGACAATAAATACACCACTTAAGTTTGGGGGCTTATCTCATTCCTATGTCCACAAAAGATAAAGGACTAATGAAGTTAGAGTAACTCCTTTAGTATTTTCTCTCTGGAAAATATAAAAGAAAAGCTTTGATGGGATGAATACCAGATGGGGGAAAAAGCAGACTTTGGCAAGAACGGGTATTTCATCTGTGGTACAGAAATCTTTTAGGGAAAACAATGACTCCACAGCTAAGACATCACAAATCACTACTTGGTGATCTCAAAAGGAAACTGAGTGGTTCTTCCTGGTGAAGACAGAGAGATGCAGGTGAACCAAGCAGCTGCCCACAATGGAGATTTCTGGGACTGAAAGTACTTAAGGGACATAAGAGAATAAATATCAGAGGTTCAAGCTCCCCTACTAGTTTGCAGGCCATGATGAACCACTGCACAGGTTATAAGCTGTGTAACTAGGGAACCATTCACATAGATTAAAATATGCAGCATCTACAACAAAAATACAAAGCAACTCATACACTCTGAATGGTTTCAGTCCTAATACCCAGAAGAATAAATACATTACACATCCAAGAATCAGTTTCTCATATTCCTCTTCCTGAGTTTTTTGATGACCTGAAATAATGGTAGGGAAAAGTTTCTAGTAATATATTCAACTCTATTAGAAGTTAATATATATTTAATATGTAGTTTATAATATATTTAAGTAATTTATAATACATCTAAATATGTAACATTAAAAAGATCTAAGTATAACACATTTAAAATAAATACACTAAATATATGTCTTCCTAAAAGAGTAATAATTAGATAGAGCACACTGACTACTACATAGAAAAGTACAATACTATTATCAACTGAAGTGCCCAAAAAGGAAAATTATGCTAGATACGAAACAGAGCAAATCCTTTCAAAATTTTTTTAAACAAATTTGGAACTATAAGTTAAAATGAAAATTAATATCAACTAATTAAATACATATTTAACTAATATTAAACTAAAACAAGAATTATTAAGTTTAACACCCCCCAAAAAAGAATTCTAATGAGTCAATAATGGGGGGAAAAAAGGCTTATTTTCTTATATCAATTTTCTAATACATGGGAGTTTGCATTAACTAGAATTTTTATCAAGCAGAATTCTCTTCAGTGAGTTTTCTCTCTGCTTGACAACCTATAGTCCAACTTAACAGATGACAGAATACAATAAAAATGAAAATTTTAACTTTTCAGAAAAGCACAATAGTTGGATATGTTAGATAACATCCTTGGAGTTGCTACTCTACAGCCCTTTTTCCAATGAGAAATGGCTTGGAATTTTGAATAAAAAAGATAAATTAGTGGTCCTGTTCAGTAATATAGTAATATATATAGAAGTTTTTAAGAAATGGGTAAATAAAGAAGACTAAAGTTTTATTTATTTTTAATTAATAATTAATTGACATGTAACATTGCTTAAATTTAAGGTGTAATGTGATAATCTTACATATATACTGTGAAATAATCACAATAAGATTAGTTAGCATATCCACCTGACATGTTTACCTTTTGGTGTGTGTGGTGAAAATATTTAAGATTTATTCCCTTAGCACCTTTCAAGTATATAATACAGTATTGCTGCCATTAGTCACCATGCTGTACATTAGATCCCCATAACTTACTCATCTTATAACTGGAAGTCGGACCAACATCTACCCATTTCCCCCATCCCTCAACCCCTGCCAACCACCATTTTCCTTTCTGGTTTTCTGAGTTCAGCTTTTTTAGATTCCACGTATGAGTGAAATTATACAGTATTTGTTTTCCTCTATCTGATGTATTTCACTTAGCATGATGCCAAGGTCCATCCAGGCTGAAACAAATGGCAAGATTTCAGAAGACTAATATTTTACATTACTTAAAGATTTCAAAATATAAGTACTGTGCACTAACTGACTGCACCACTGGAGCTTCAAGATTTCAAAGTATAGAAATACCTGGTAACACAGCAAGAAAAAAGATGAAGATGTTATTCTGGAGATGTGGAAATGAGGAATGAGGAATTCCAGTTTCAATATGGACTATATATAACATACTATTATTTTCATAATGTTAAATTTTGGTGTGTGATAATGATACAGTGGTAATTTTTGAGACCCTTAGGCTGCTGAAACACAAGTGAAATATACCACCTACCTTCAGGTTTGGAAAATACACACAGATAAAAAGAAAGATACAGGAAATGAGCAAAATGTTAACAACAGGTCACTCTAGGAAAAGGGTAAGTTGGGATTCATTATACTATCCTTTCACTTTTATATAGGTTTGAAATCTTTTAAATAAAAAAGAGGAATATACCCCTGTATATATCAAAACACGTATAAGAATGTTCACAGCACAATTACTGATAAAGAGCCTGAAGTGGAAACAATCCAAATATACATGAAAAGTACACTGGCAAATAAATGGATAAGTAAATTATGGTATAATCATACAAGAGAGTACTAGCAATGAAAATGAACGAGCTACTGTTAACACACCACAGAGGGGAAACTCACAAATAATGCTGAGTAAATAAAGCTAGACACACAAATAGGACGAACAAATATTTATTGAATAAATATCTCAGAAAAGACTCAATAAGATCAAGGTTGTTAATTATTTTTGTTTTTTCCCTTGTTCGTTTGTACTTTTTTATTATTTTTTTCAACTGAAGTATAGTTAAGGCTGTTATTATCTTTGTTTAACAAAAATTTTCTTCACAGACAACAAAATCACAATGGAAATGTAAAAATTATTTACAAGAACAAATTCCTTTTAAGCACCCTCAAGCACATTTATTAAAAACACTCATACACTATTGATCTACTCCACTAATAATGCACTGCCAGCCTGTCATCTTCTTAAAAGCCCCAGTTTGAACTAGAATGTGAATTTGACAGTTCCAAACCCATACTAACAAGACTTTTCTCATTGAATAGGTTTTACAAACTGTACTACAATTAAACAATCTTAGTTCTAAAATTTAATCTATATTCAGACTTACAACCAGAGGTTATTATTTTTTGTTAAGACATAACATACTTACATTAACTTTGAAAGCCTGTACAGTGTTATCCAGAAGAAGGATGTTGCAAACCACCTCTGTATGCTGTCTGTCTCGGGCCAACTCTGATGCTCGGACATTGTAGGTTCTGCCAGCAGGCAATCGGAAACGAGAGGTCATTACTGTCCACACAAGGTCTAAGTTGAAAAAAAAAAAAACTAAATAAGAGGATAGTTGAAGATACACGGTTATTTATATAAAAAAATACAAAGTTATTATATATATTTTCAACTAACACTTTGGTAAAAAGCAGTTACAAATTTTTAAACACCAGGATAAGAATTATAGGTATAAAAGAAGGTATCATATATAGTTCATCATCTAAAATAGAATTATAGTTGCCTGGAAGAGGAACTTTATTTTGAACTCTCCATTGAGAAGACAACACACAAATTGTTGATGAAATGATATCTCAATTCAAAAAATATAAATTTGGGAGTAGCCAAAAAGGAGGAAGGAAAATATGCTGCCTCAGGAAACTGAACATTACTCATTGATGCAAGGATTTAAAAAAACACTGTAGAATTGCAACTTTGAAGAGCCTTTCCTTTTATTCAGCTTAAGATTTAGGGGAAACATAGGAGTTCATTAGTTTTTTAATGTAACTATATCCTTCATTTTAACTATCCTCAAGTTCAAACTAATTCTAATAGAACTATTCTTACTATTCCTAAGAAAACGAAAACAAAATAGAAAACTTAAGACTACAGGTCTTTACTTCTCAATTTTTTAACCTAAGAGGGAAAAAAGACATTGCTTATAAAATAACAGATATCACATCGTTATCTGCAACACTTAATGTTAAAAGACAATGAAGATGTAGCTTCAAAGTTCTGAAAGAAAATGATTTGAAACAGAACTATATTCCGCCCAAATTAGCATTTACGTGAAAGAATAAAGCTAAAGACATTCGAAGTTTAAAACTCATAAAACTTCTCTCTTAAAAGGTATTTGGATAAAAGAAACAAACTACACTACAAACACAGTTATACAGAATTTTTAAACATGAGTAAGCAATAAGTACTAAGAAATTTCTATACTGAATAAGTAAAAATTAATAATAAAAAGAAATAGCAATTCAAATTAGTGGTATTCCAAATTGTAACTGATACCATATTGTTCATGTTAAAAGGATTAAAGCTAAAAGTAAAAGTCAATGTTACAGAAGTATAAAAACTACATAGAAGAAAACAGCTTTAGCATGTTGACAAAGAGGGGCTATTCAAGTAAAATTCACCAATTAAAAGACAGAGACTGGCAGTTTCCAGTTTCACATGAAAAGAGTTCAGAAATCCCTACTCCATCTTAACAAGTAGAAGAAAAACAGAACAGACTGGAAAATCAGCAACTCTTCTTGGATCCAAAAGAGAGGACACAGGGCAAACTGCTGTCCCAGAAATTGGAGAGACAGGTGAAAATGAATGAGTCACAGCTTATGGGAGTAGAGACTCAGAAGCAGAAACTGCCATGGGAACCAGTGCATGAGTAGGAAAGCCTGAATCCAAATGATGACTTGAGGGAGGTTCAATGTGGACAATTTCAAGTTCAAAACTCCAGAATGGCCCAGTGATAGTGGGACTCACACAAGCAGGCAGACCTCACACTGGCTGGAACCAGAAGTTAATGCTTAAGATTTCTAAAACATCACCCTGTTCCACACCACCTAACAATCAGAAGAATGTCATGCACCCTGCAGTCCTCACCCCAAATGTTCCCTGAAAACCACTGGGGAGTTCAGGTCTTCTGAGCATAAGCCACCATACTCCTCGGCTCTGCAATAAAAACTGTACCTTCCTTCACCACAACCCAGTGTTAGTAATTTGACTTTGCTGCATGGTGGGCAAGCAGACCCAAGTTCAGTTTGATAATGATATTCTAATAATTTCGTATGGTATGTAAATGAGAAAAATATAGAACCACTATGTTGTATACCTGAAACTAATATTGTACGTCAACTATATTTCAATTCCAAAATTAAAAAAGTCACTACTTTTACAGACCAGGAAACCTAAACATGGTTTTCCTAAATACAGAATACCAAACCAAAAAAGAGTAAGACAGTAGGACATTATAACTAACATATATAAATGGTCTTAATACAATAAAATACACTCTACTCTCAAATTCTCACATTCCTTATGCTTATGTTCATGTATAAAATATTTCTTTCTAGACAGTGGCAGTTTTTGTGTATTTTTCAAAATTACACAAAATTTTATATACAACCTCAAGTAACTATTATTGCTAAAACGCTCTTCTCAGTCTCAAGACTCTCAGACATAGGAAACTATCCTTCAGGAAGCTAACACATTGAACTTCCTCAACAAAGATTAAGTATTATAAATATTTTAAATAAAATAAACCACAACAACAGAACTAAAAGAACAATATCACATCAAATAGAGAAATAAATAAAAACATAGAAATTACTTTTTAAATAAGCAAATCAGAATTCTGTCGTTAAAAAGATAATTGAAAATTTTAAAAGCAGAAAGGCTTAACAACAGATTTGAGCTAATGTAAGAAAAAATTAGCAAACCTGAAGATAAGTCAATTGAGAATATGCAGCCTGAGGAAAGGAAAGAATAAAGAATAAAGGAAAATGAACAGTCTCAGACCTAAAAGACACTATCAAGCATACCAGCATATTCATCACGGAAGTTTCAGAGAGTCAACAAAAAAGGAGGCAGAGAGAATTCAAAGAAATAAGGGCATATATATCCTCAAATTTGATTTTTTAAAAACTCTCATCCAAGAAACCAAATAACTTTCAAAAAACATAAACTCAAAGAGATCCACAAATAGATACATCATAGTCAAACAGTTGCAAGCCAAAGAAAAAGAAAATCTTGAAAGCAGCAAGGGAAGAGTGACTCATCACCTACAAATGATGCTCAATTACATTAACAGACCGTATCTAATTAGGAAACTTGAAGGTCAGAAGGCGGATGATGACACATTCGAATTACTAATAGAAAATAACTATCAACAAGAATTTAGTATCTAGCAAAACAATACTTAAAGGAGAATTTAAGATATTCCCAGTTAAACAAAAACTAAAAGAATTTGTCACTAGCAGATCTGTCCTGAAAAAAACAAAACAAAACATTAAAGATACAATGAACATACATTAGATGTTAACTAAAATCCACAAGAAGGAATAAAGACTACCAGTAAAGGTAACTACATGGCTAAATGTAAACAACAGTATAAATTAGTTTTGTATTTGTAACTCCTTTTTTCCTCTGACAAATGCAGGAAGCAATATCTGTAGCACTGTGTTGATGGGCTTATACTGTATAAAGAAATGGGCTATATGACAATAGTACAAAAGAAGGAGAAGTGAAAGTGAGCTATAGGAAGAGCAAAGTTTCATACTATTGAAATCAAGCTTCTATTATCCCTAACTTCTAAATCCCCAAGGAAACAACAGTTAACCCTTTAACAACATGGGTCTGAATCTTGCACATCCACTTAAACACAAATATTTTTCAATAAATATACAGTTGCCCCTCCATATCCACAGATGCAAAACTCCAACTGTAAGGAACTTGAGCATCTGTGGACTTCAGTATTTATAGGGGGCCCTGGAACAAATCACCCACAGATGCTGAGGAACAACTATTCTAAGAAATAAACTCAAAATAATAGGGTAAAATAAACAATAGAATTAAAATTACAGCTAGAACATACTATTTAAAATGAAAGCTATGATGGAGGAACAGAGAAAAAAGAGGACAAAAGACATAAGAAAACTAGCAAAATGGCATTACCTTATCAATAATAACATTAAATATAAATGGACTAGAAACTCAAATCAAATACACTGGGAGAATGGATTTTTTTTTATGCTGGTTCCATTTATATGCTCTCTATAAAAGACACATTTCAGATTAAAAGACACAAACAAATTGAACGTAAAAGAATGTAAAAAGATACACTACAAAAACAGTAACTAGAGAGAGCTAGAATAACTGTACTAAAGATCAGTCTGGTTGGAACTAATAAACAAATTTCAGCAAAGTTTTAGGATACAAACTTAACTCACAAAAATCAGGTGGATTACCATACACTGGCAATTAATGATCCAAAAAGAAACCTAGGAAAATAAATCTACTTACAATAGCAAAAATAATAAAATACTTAGAAATAAATTTCACTAAGGAGGCAGAAGACTGGTATACTCAAAACTACACACACACACACACACACACACACAGAAACACTATGCTGAATCCTGGAAATTAACAAAACATTGTGAATTGACTATACTTCAAAAAAAGACTCATCTATATAATGCTTACAAAAGACTCACTTCAGAGCTAAAGACATACAGAGACTGAAAGAGAGGGATGGAAAAAGATATTCCATGCAAGTACTCATACCAGACAAACTAGACTTTAAAACAAAGCCTATAAAAAAAAATGAAGAAGGGCATTATATAATGATTAAGGGATCAATACAAGAGAATATAACATTTGTTAACATATATGTACTTAATATATGACACCTAAATGTATAAAGTAAATATTAACAGGTATAAAGGGAGAAATTGACAATAATACAGTAACAGTAGGAGACTTCAACACCCCACTTACATTAATGGACAGATCATCTAGAAAGAAAATCAATAAGGAAACAGCAGTCTTAAAAGACACATTAGACCATCTGGACTTACTAGATCTCCACAGGACATTCCACCCAAAACAACAGAATACACATTATTTTCAAGTGCTCGTGGAACATTCTCCACAATAAATCACATGCTAAGCCACAAAATAAGTCTCAACAAATTTAAAAGAACAGAAATTATATCAAAAAATTTTTCACCAAAATGGTATAAAACTAGAAATCAATTATGGGGAGGGGATGAGAAAACACAAAAGCATGGATATTAAACATCATGTTACTAAAAAACCACTTGGTCAAAGGAGAAATCAGAAAATACCTCCAGACAAATGAAAATCAAAACACAACTTTCCAAAATCAATGGTACCCAGCAAAAGCAGTTCTAAGAAGAACTTTAGAGCAATACAGGCCTACCTCAGGAAACAAAAAATATCTCAAATAAACATCTAAAGGAATTAGGGGAAAAAAGCCCAGAATCAGAAGATGGAAGGAAATAATAAATATCACA